TACAGCCGCACCGGGGCGCGAACAGTGATGGAACCATCGCTCTGGATCTGGTACCGTCGCTTAAGAAACTCGAACTCGTCCCCGGGCTGCTGGTAGGGGCCGGCAATCTTCACGGTGTACCGGTTGGTGAGGTCCTTCTCCACTCGGCCATGGGGCTCAGCGTCCCCGGTGGCCATAATATCATCCACGTGCACTTGTGCCACGTAGCGCTCGCCACTGCCACTGGCTCTGTAGAGGGTCGGCACCTCTGGCATGGATTCCAGGTTGGCGTTGTTGAGGTCACCGGCCAGCTGGTGACACCACTCTTGGGCGCCTCGCCGTTGTCCCGGCAGCACTCGCCCAAGCTTCCAGGTCTTGCTGGCACCGAACTTATTCACGTAGGACCGCGGGGCCGTCACAACCACGGGCTCGTCCTCCGGCTGGGGAACACAAAGGTAGGCGTCCTTGACGTCCATAATGTAGATTGGGGTGCCCCACTTCTGGGCCAGAAGTGGCACCAAACGCGCCAGGGTACTCACACTCGCTGGGCTGAAGGTGTCCTCCTCGAGCATATCCGAGGCCCAGCGGTACTGCCTCGCCACCAGCCTGGCCCTTCTGAACCACCCGTCGGGTCCCTTCTTCCACGTCTTCACAAAGACCGTGCTGAGGTGCTCGGCTTGCTCCTGGGTTCGGCTCCATAAGCACGTTCATGCCCTCCAGGCAGGTGAGCTCCTCAATCTCCGCTTGGTCGTCCAGCTCGGCAAGGTCCTCGGGGCTGAGGTCGGGTGGCTGTTCGCCGTCAAAGTCCTCGGCCTCACCATAGGCGGTGTTCTCCCAGGCCTCGTGCCAGGCAGCGTCCACGGTCTCCACCATACGAACTGCAAACTCCTCATCGGCATCCATGGCCTCATCGGGGCCCGGTTGGTGTACCACCTCGGCGGGCTCGGTTGTGGCATCCGCGCCGCCTCCTCCGCTCATCTCCTCGGCCTTGATCGGGGCACTCAGTCGGAGACACAGACCGCGGCGAAAACGACGGAGAGAACGATGGGCTCCTCGATGGGCTCCTGGCTCTCGACGGGCTTGGTCTTGCACTCCGCGACGGGCTTCTCAAAAGCGCCACGTCCTTCGGGTCGGCTGGGCGCAGCTCCTCCGAACTATCGGTGTCTGCCTCCTTGCCTTTGGCTGCTGCCTCAACTGCTTGGGCCTCGTTATCTTCCTCGGGAAGAAGAGGGTGCCCCGGCGGAGCACCAAGAGGTAGCTGAACTCCTGCTTCAAGTGTCGGGGCTGCTTCGGCTCGGCGCGGCTCCTTCTTGCGCCGTCGGGGCTGCTCCACATGGTCTCGGTTCCAGGGCCAGCCCGTGATACACATGTCCTCCACCTGGTTCGCTGTCAGCTGCTGCTCCTCGGTGGCCCGGCGGACGCTCTCGCTCTGGATGTGGCCGTAGGTAGTCATCAGGTGGTTGGCCCCGGAGGTGGTGCTCATACCAACCCATAGGCCTTTAATCCACCTGGGCTCGCCCTTATGGCCTTATGGGTCCGCAAGACCTGTCCAAAAACAGTTTCCCCAAAAACGCAAAGGGCCTTGGTGAACTTCCGGCCGCCATAAGCCAACTCGTAGGGGGTCTGCAGGACTCCAGGCAGCACGTGGAACCGGTTGTAGAGGAAGGCCCCGTGGACCTGGGCCCAAAGCTTCAAAGGCGTGTCCGCCGGGAAAGTCCCGGCTTTGAGTTCCAGGGCGTGGAAAAGGCACGTCCCCAAACGCCTCACGGTTTGCACTGCACGCTCTGCTCCTCCATTGCTCTGGTGGGCCGCCACGGGCGTAGTTCGCTGCACGGTTTTCTTTCCAAGCTTGTTCCTGGCTGCGGCTACGGCTCGGGCGACAGCCTTGATGGCGGGCTCCCCGTCGGACTGCAAAATCACAGCCTCGTCGCCATGGAGGGAAATAGTGAAACGGGTGACCTCCTCAGCCGCCCTGTGCAAAATAACTGCTCCTTTGTTGGGGCCCGGCACGGAGAGCACCATCTTGGTCTCGAGGTCGACCCCAATCAAGCAGCACGTGTCCTGCTCACCTTGTCCGGCTGGCCTGGCGTGGTCGTCGAGGGAGGTAAAGTAGAAGTCGATTTGCACCACCGGCACCTTAGTCTCACGGTTGGCTCCGGTGTGGTGGGCGTCGGCTCGGCTCCTTGTTGCCACACAGCTCTCGCACCAGCGCTGAAACGGCACGTGTGTCAAGTTGTGGGCTGCCACCTCCTCTGCGCTCGGTGGGCCTTCTGGCTGTGATCGTGGCACTGGGTCCCTTCGGTCAAGACCTTGGAGCTGCTCTGCGGCATTGTTCGCGGCATACGCCTCAAGCTCCTCTTGCTCCAGACCCTGCGGCAGCATAGCTGGATCATCGCCATCGGGTTCGGGACCTTGATGTTCTGCAGGTTCTCGTCCTTGGTGTTCTGCGGGTTCTCGTCTTTGGTGTTCTGCGGGTTCTCGTCCTTGGTGTTCTGCGGGTTCTCGTCCTCTGGTGTTCTGGGCGTTCTCGCCCCCTAGCGTCATTGGTGGCGCCAC